CAGTGAGCCATGATCACACCACTGCACTCCAGCGTGGGTGACATTGTGAGACCCTTATCTCAAAAAATTAGCAACAAAAAAAATGAATTTTTGTTTTATGAGAACTTAAGTATACTTTGAAAAGAACTTTTTTTTTTTTTGAGATGGAGTTTCACTTTTGTCCCCCAGGCTGGAGTGCAATGGCACGATCTCAGCTCACTGCAACCTCCACCTCCCAAGTTCAAGAGATTCTCCTGCCTCAGCTTCCTGAGTGGCTGGGACTACAGGTGTGTACCACTATGCCCAGCTAATTTTTGTATTTTTAGTAGAGATGGGGTTTTACCAGGTTGGCCAGGCTGGTCTTGAACTCCTGACCTCAGGTGATCCACCCGCCTCAGCCTCCCAAAGTACCAGGATTACAGGCATGAGCCACCATGCCCGGCCAGAAAGGAACTCTCACAAGTACATGTAGCACACACCTGTAGTCCCAGCTACTTGGGAGGCTGAGGAGACTTGAGCAGAGGAGTTTGAGGCTATAGTGAGCTATGATCATGCCACTGCTCTCTAGCCTGGGCAACAGAGTGAGACCCTCTTTAACAAAAACTATTCATTTCCATACATAGTTCCAGGTTAAATTTTATCCAGGATCCTAGGCTGATGAAATTATGCATGGACTTCTCATCTATGCTGCTTAAGGATTTCATCAGTCATCCTCAATTCTCAATCCTTTATAGGCTGCCTCTTAGAAAAAGTTGTTTCTAGCAATATAGTTCAGATCTAAACTTTCATTAACTGGCTTCAAGAAATTTTTGCATGGGATTCAAGGGCCATTTCAAACTAGTACTTACTGAGGCAGATTTAAAGCCTTACCTGGCTCTCAGGCCAGAGGCGGTGGCTCACACCTGTAATCCCTGCACTTTGGGAGCCCAAGGAGGGTGGATCACTTGTGACCAGTTCAAGACCAGCCTGGCTAACATAGTGAAACCCCTTCTCTACAAAAATCACAAAAATCACTGGTTGTGATGGCGCATGCCTGTAGTTCCAGCTACTTGGGATGGTGAGTGAGATGACTGCTGGAGCCTAGGAGGTGGAGGTTGCAGTAAGCCGAGAATGCACCACTGTGCTCCAGCCTGGAGGACAGAGTGCGACTCTGTCTCAAAACAAAACAAACAAAACCCCTGGCTCTCCTCTTAGCTCTGTGGTCAAGTCAGGCGGCACTCTGAGTCACCATAAAAACGTCCTTACAAGGTAGTCACTGTCTACATTGTAAGGACACTGTAAGCATCAGAAAGGTTTGTAAACCACATTGGATGGCATATACTAGGTATCTGAGAAACAAAAGCATTACAAGTGCATCCTCATGTTTCACCTGAAAAGCCACATTAGTCTCTCTCACTGCTTCATCAAAAAATTTTGTTTTTAAAATGCTGGTATTTATGTGATTAAGCTGAGTGAGCTTCGAAAATAAATAATCTAGTTTGCTAATTAGCGTTAGATTTATGCTATCAATTACCAGCAGTTTAACAGATTGTGTGGGCATTTCTTCCCTTAAATTTACATAATTGGAATCACAATCTTCTACCTTAGGCTTTCATGAATCAACAAGGATTTGTCAAGCACCTACCAACTACTCAGCCTCAGAGACAGTACTGTGATAATAAATTTTTATTAGTATCGAAGATTAAACATTAAACTCAAACGCTGGTAACGAGAATGGGGGTATCCTTTCCTGTTAGTAATCCTTAGTTCCTGTGATAGTGAAACAGCCAAGCCCTAATGAACGATCTCACAACAGAAATCCAATATGATGTTAGTAATGTTAGAAGGCTATCAGTATGTTTTAAAGGTAATTATAAAAATGGTCTATTTCCCTTGTTTTATTAACACAGTCACTAAACTTCAATCCCAGTGTTTAATTTTCCCCAACAGTTTAGCTATTTCCAAGAAAAACAATCATTTGAAGACTGGCACTGCAGATAACAAAAAAGTATTGCCTGGTACTGGCTTCTCTTCCAGCAGGTAGTTTCAGTAAAAACAGAACCCCAAATCTGGCTACCCAGTTCCCACTTCACATCCATTAAAACACAGCCTTGCTTTTTGCATCTCACGGTTATCAAATGAGCGATTCACTTCACGAAAACCACAGTGAGAAGAATCCTGGAGAACCATGGAACTCCCTACCAGTTATGCTAAACACAGCATTAGCACAGATGCAGGAGACTGCTACGCTTTTCAAATCCTCTTCCAGAACACCTGAGGATTACAAAGCCAACACTTCTACTTAAAAAACATTTTTTTAATTAAAAAAAAAAAAAAAAACTGTAGTCAGGGCAAGAAAAGGAAAACAGTGTCTTTATTGTGTGTAGTTCTAACAAACATTCACTGTGTGTGCATTCCAGCAGAGACAAAGATCTTTGTTCAAAATATTCTGAAATAAAATAGGTAAACATACTCCATTATTGAATATACAAAAGGAATGTTAATGTTACTCGTTCATAGTCAAAGGTGAAGTTAAAAAAAAAAGGGAAGTTAAATAACTAAAGTCTTGGTTTGCTCAAATAGCAAATGTAGGATCCAAGCGTGGGCAAAGAGCAGCTACTGAAGCTCATGTGTAGGCTGCTGGATATAGGGTAGGTAACTTGACAAATGCCTCCCTGCTTCTTTGGAAACTTCTTCCTAGATCACCCCCACAAATTCCAAACCTGGCTCTTTCAGAGCACAACAGCCAAATGTGACTAAACTCCTCATTACTTCTGTGATATTTGGCAATGGAATGAGATAGTGAAAAAAAAATCAATTTCTTGTTGAGACAAGACATGTGTGAATCCTTTTCTCTTGGGGTAGGAGGAGGTAATGAACATTAACGTTCTGTATCTCAATCTCCTCAAATGGAATTTAACCAGATAGGTATTGCTTGAGATCTTAAAGCAGGAGATACCATAAGTAATGATACTTCAGGCCTGTAAAGCATTTTTCATTGCCCCACATTGCAACTAAATGAGTATGAACTCTACAGTGTTCTGATTTCACAACATATGCATTTATGACAACTGCTAAAAGAACTTTACGGGCTCATATGATAGGTTCCAAGGGATTTTTGTTTTTGCTTAAGCAGTCTTGAGGAGATCTAAACACAAGATAAACTTTGACCCCACCACTCTCTTATCTTTACAAATGCAGAAGTCATTTGGAAACCAAAACTGATTGCTAAATAGGCGCTAAGGAATTTTGGAGAATGGGTACCAACACCCCAGTTATTTTTGAGATGGAGTTTTAGAATTTCGCTCTTGTTGCCCAGGCTGGAGTGCAGTGGCACAGTCTCTACTCACTGCAACCTCCGCCTCCCAGGTTCAAGCGATTCCTCTGTCTTAGCCTCCCAAGTAGCTGGGATTACAGGCACCCGCCACCATGCCTGACTAATTTTTGTATTTTTAGTAGAGATTGGGCTTTACCATGCTGGCCAGGCTGGTCTGGAACTCCTGATCTCAGGCGATCCGCCCACCTTGGCCTCCCAAAGTGCTGGGATTACAAGCGTGAGCCACCTCACCTGGCCACACCCTCTATTTTGGTGGCATGACACTTCCCTCACCTCCTCCGTGTCCAGCAGCCATGATGTGTATAGTATAGTTTGCTGCAGCAGCAGCTAGTCTTCCTCAGGAATAAACAACCAAACCCCCAGAGACCAGATTCAGGTTGCACCGTCAGCCAATGGGGACTGGCTCCACTTGCTTTCCAGAGGATTTTTCACCACTACTCATGCCAAGACTGTTTCGAGAATTCAAATCTACTTCCTAAAATGAAGTCCTTTTGGATGGATTTGGCTAGTGTGCTATATTACTTGTTTAGAAAAACCTCTGCAAACCCTCACACAAGATTTACCTTTCACCTGGCTGTTTTTGTAGGCAACAGAATAATGGTAAATGGACCCAAAAGTGGTTTTCCTAATACAAAGTGACATCATATCAGCAGTAGTTGAGAAGCCCTGGGTACTGGAGGGATTTCATGGATGGGAAAGACAAAAGTCTAATTATCTTTTCCCTCTGGCTCTCAGTAAAAAAACAAGTCCAGATGTAAACAGGAAAAGAAAACCAACGTGAAGTAGAAAAACACATCTTTTGCATTGGCATTTACCTTAAAAATAACAAAAACACCAATTTTACTTAAGATGATAGTTCTTTAACATTTCTTATAAGCCAGATGTTTTTCATTCAATTTTTGGACATCGCCAACACACTTTTACAACTGATTCAAGTTATCCTCAGGCTTGGTTTTAGCTTGAATGTTCCCTTTCAAGCTCCTTAATACTCCTTTGTTCTTTACTTTTACCCAATGTACTCCAAAAGTCACACAATTTATTTATTACAATCATATACCAATCCTTCCTTGCCTTTGTATAGAGAAGAATCAAGTCATACCACTTTTGTTAAACGATAACCAAAGGTTTTTTCTAATATTGTTTTAAAAGTAGCATCTTATAATACATACAAACGTTTTTCTAAAGATAAAAGTTTTACTAAACCTATATCCCTGATAATAAAGGTCAGCCAGAAATCTCCTAAAATTACTCCAAAACATATCCAAGTGTGCAAGTACAACGTTAATATTATTTTGATGAATTCTGTATTCATTCAACTGCTAAATCACAGGATACAAGACCTGGGTTGAACTTTTTCTTAAACAGTTTGCATGGGCAGACACTGGTTTGCTGGGCAGCTTCCTGTCTCGTCAAGTCCTTGGCAAGCTTGGAGGGAGGGAGGAGATGCTGAGCAGCCTCTATGGTCCTTCTCAAACCAAGCTGCTCCCTGCTGGATATGACAATGGCTCAGAAGCAGATTGGCAATTCTCAAAGGACAGGGAGAAAAATCACCACAGTCGCTGGCAGAAAAGAGCCAGTGTACTATTTCCTCAGGTACTTCCATGGGGGAAAAATAAAGTCTAATATGCCAGAGAAATCATCACTGAGCCAATAAGACACAGTAACATAATTCTAGTAACCTAATTCTCAATGAACACACATCCGAGAAAAAAAACTGCCAGTATTTTATTCTCATGGAAAAACTGAACAAACCCACAAGTTGGAGTCATGGAGGTAAAATACAGATGAAATGGAAAACAGTCTCTTGTCAGGAGCTCTCACTTTCAAATACCATTTTACATGGAAGTTATTTTACTTGCAGGGGCAAACAGAAGGCCAAGTTGGAGACTTTCATCTTTGGAAAATGGAGAATCAAAAATTTGCTAATCAATAAACCAAAAAGCAGGGAAAATCCCTGGTAAAGCTCTATAGACATAATTATACATTTATGTTTTACCAATAAAAGATAGTTAAGGGAGAAAAAACAGATGGCTAGAAACTGGTGCCAAACCAAAGTGAAAGCTTTGGTGCTTTCTCTAAATGCCTATCCTGAAGTGGTGCTTTTCAGTATTTTTCTAAAGAAAGATTACTCTGAATTGACCAGGGTTCTATCAGCCCAATCCATCCCTCCCTTTCCAGCCCCATGATATAAAAGGGCAATGTAGTTTTTTGTCCAGCACCACTTGGGAAGGGGCTGGGCTCAGGGGGTGGGAAGAGCTACCTGCTGCCCTAGCTTGAAAGGGAGGAGATGACCATATCATTCTTTGTAGTTTTATCACACACATAAAAGGAACAAAAATCATTTGGCAGTTTTAAGTTTCATAAGTACATACCTTTACTTCAGGAATTAAACCCCTTATGATAAACAACAGAATTAAATCAGATTTTTAAAAAAATACAGATGAGGGTCTCGCTACGTTGCCTAGGCTGGTGTCAAACTCCTGGCCTCAAGCGATCTTCCTACCTTGGCCTCCCAAAGTGCTAGAATTATAGGCATGCCCGCACCTAGCCCTAAATGATTTAAAAAAAAATTTACTTAAAAGAAAAATGGAAAAAGAAAGGCTTCAATACTAGAGTGCCGCCCTGTTAAGAATGTCTAATGTGCGATCAAAGTATTGGAAAGCAGGCATTTTTACCAAAGAGCAATGTCACTGTAACATATGAACTGTAATTATGAACAGAAAGTTCTGAAATATAAGGGTACTCATGGAAACCAGTGAAGAGAAGAAAGACTGGCAAATGTTTGACACAGAACAGTGAGCAGGTACTCTAGGAGTAAGGCTCTGAGAAATGGAGGACACTGGGCCCAGATCTACAGTGGATGTCTGGCCAACCGTCTTGGCTCCACGGGGGAAGAATGCAACTGGCAGGATTCAAGGAGAGGGCACTTCTGCAGCCCCCAAACAAGTCTCTAGTTTTCACTCCAATGTGGATGTGCTTTCCAGGCTTCAGCAAGGCCTCTTCAGGAGGATTTGCTTTCCGATGTGTAGTAGCGGTACAGGAAACCTAAGAGAACAGCACCTACGATGGGTAAAATCCAATATGCCCAGTAACTAGGAGTAGGGGGAAAAAGCAATAAAGTTGTTAATATTTCAAGCCAAATCTTCACTATCTTTCAGCTTTCACATGTTTTTATATGGGCAAGGAGTCTTAATTTGGGAAGTTTAACTGCTTTTATCACAAAGTAGTTAGGGAAAAAATATTTGGATTGGAATGACAATTTTAAGAAGTAATTTTATAAAAGGTTAAAAACAGAACCAACAGTATGCTATCAAATAAGATATATACATGCCTTTATACATGTTTCTACAAAGTCACATAGTAGTTATTTCTGATTATGGTTAGGGATTGTGGATAGTCTCACATATTCTTCTTTGTGCTTTTGCTTTACACATATTCTACAATTAACATTTTTAAACTGGAAAAAATGCCATTATGTGTCATTTCATATACGTATAAAAATATATATCTATCCCAATATAAATTGGAAGCAACAATATCTAATATAACTACCAGAAATATCCTATCTGCTTCATATGTATTTTAAAGATTTAATCCTTACAACAGCCTGTGAAATAGGGTTAGTATTCTCATCTCATACAAGGGAAAACAGAAGCTTTGCAGCCCAAATCACAAAGCTAGTAAGGGAATCAGGCAGCCTGATTCCAAACCCTTCCTCTTAATCTCTAGTTAAGTTTGGACACTAATAAGGATACGCATACACACAAAGCATATACAGTTCTACTAGGGTGAAGCAAACGGCAGCTTAAAAAGTACTGCAAGAGGGCCGGGCGCGGTGGCTCAAGCCTGTAATCCCAGCACTTTGGGAGGCCGAGGCGGGTGGATCACAAGGTCAAGAGATCGAGACCATCCTGGTCAACATGGTGAAACCCCGTNGCGCATGCCTGTAATCCCAGCTACTCAGGAGGCTGAGGCAGGAGAATTGCCTGAACCCAGGAGGCGGAGGTTGCGGTGAGCCGAGATCGCGCCATTGCACTCCAGCCTGGGTAGCAAGAGCGAAACTCCGTCTCAAAAAAACAAAAAACAAACAAAAAAAAAAAGTACTGCAAGAGACTTTCCTTAGGAGCTTCAGAATAGTACTCATTCTCCTTAACATAATAATTATTTAATAGAACTTATTAGCACACTAGTTTTAAAGTATAATTCTTCCATGATCCAAATGACCTGGCTGCTCTTCTACTTAAGACAGATGAGTCTTTGTATTAAAAGGTTCTGAAGTCAATAAAACGAGCTGAAGTTCATAAGAAAAATGATTCTCTTTGCCTAAACATGCCTAGCACTCTGTATGCTTACATATGTCAGAAAGCTACTCTAGACTAGTTTAGAATGTCAGCCAGGTAGTTTTGTTGAAAAAACGAAGCAAGATGGCATGTATAACAGCAATATGCAGATGGGAACTCTGAAGTAATCTCCTGTTAAGAGTAATGAACTGAGATTCCTCGAAGGGCAATCGCAAGAGACTAAAGAATCCAAAAGTAGGATCCTTGAGAAAACACTGAAGAAGAGAATTTTTTTAGTACAGAAGATTGAGAATGGTTGACCACCAATCTTCACATAATCTTTCCTAATACTAAACTGCCACTGAGGAGAGAATCAGAGGAAACACATTTATACTGCATCAAAGGAGATTCAGGTTCAACAATAACTTCCTGTCATAAGACAGATTTTTCTTCTTGGAGTGTCATCTAGACTACGACATATTTGTGATTCATTTATTTTTATTGTTTTGTAGTATTCCATTGTATGAATATACCACAATTTATTAGAGTTGTTTCTGATGTGTGAATATCTCAAATAATGCTGCTATGAACATTCTTGTACCTATTTCTGGGTGTACTTGCGCACACATTTCTATCAAGTATATCATTAGAAATGGAATTGCTGGGTCAAAAATTAATTCATCCTATCAAATTTACTAGATAATGCCAAACTGTTTTCCAAAGTGATCATATTCATTTACATTACCCTAGGAGTGCTTAAGAGTCGAGGGATAAACTTTCTAACCAATTCTTATTTGCACAATTTTCAATTTTTTGTTGAGATGGAGTCTCACTCTGTTGCCCAGGCTGAAGTGCAATGGCGCGATCTCACCTCACTGCAACCTCCGCCTCTCAGGTAAAGGTGATTCTCCTGCCTCAGCCCCTGGAGTAGCTGGGATTACAGGCACATGCCACCATACCCGGCTAATTTTTTTTGCATTTTTAGTAGAAAGGGGTTTCACCATATTGGTCAAGCTGGTCTCAGACTCCTGACCTCATAATCCACCTGCTTTGGCCTCCCAAAGAGCTGGGATTACAGGCATGAGTCACTACACCCGGCCAGAATTTTTACCAATCTGGTTAGGTATGAAATATACCTATGATTTTAATTCACATATCACTAATGTTGAATGAGATTAAACCTTATTTCCACATGCTTACATTTATATTTTCTTTTCTGTAAAGTACTTAAATCTTTTTCTCATATTCTACTGAGGTTTTAAAAAACTGATTCGTAGGAATTCTTTATATATTCTGCCTAATAATTCTTAATCAGTTTTATGTTTAGCATAAAGTCTAAGCTTTATAGCATAAGCATAAGTTTTATGTTTAAAGTCTGTAAGTCTGTGGCTTGTATTTTCAAAATTTTTATGCAGTATTTAGCTGACCCTAAGCCCTAAATATTAAGGAAACTAAATTTACTAATTGTTTGTACTTTTTATACTGCATCCATTACATCAAATAAAAGATCTGATATTTTATGGGAGAAAAAGACACATTTTCTCTCTTTCTCTGAAATACTTTGAGATGTCCAAAGATAAAATGGCTAGGTCTATATAATCTCCACAAAGATACTGTACAAGCCTAGGATTCGACAGTCATTTTAGATAGAGGTTCTTAATGGAAGGCAGTTTATAACTTTCAGAGCTAATACTAATGAATTACTAATATTAATGCCAAGAAATATATTGTAAGTAAACCTAAGAAAACCCAAATTCCTAAATATGACTCTAATATTTTTTCTCCTGTAAAATGTAACAATTGCACCTCCCTTACAGAATGGTTGTGACAAGTAAATGAGATTAAGTTTTAAGTAGAATCATGTAGCTGGGTTGAACTGCAGGGACTGAAAGCTGACCAAATAGCAGCTACCTGTCCATGCACACTGGCCTCTTAACTGAGTATGATTCCAATTTATGTCACAATAAGACTAAAAAATTACTCAAGGCGTGAACCTTTTAGATTATTCAAAATGGCGGAAACTGTAAACATTAATTTTGCTGTCAAGGAACAACTGAATTTGCAATTATTTGGGCCAAAAAAGAGTTGTCTAACTGCACTCATAGTTATGTTACATACATATATATACTTATGGAAGAGTCTCTTGCCAGACATCACGTTGAACATAAGGAAATCTGTTCCTCGTTAGTATAGCGGTAAAAAAAAAAAAAAAAAAAAACGAAAAAGAAAGAAGGAAATCTGTTAAGGAGATACTAACCTTTTGCATGTATCATTTTTTGAAGGGTCCTGAAAACGACACATATTCAAAAAAAAAACAAACAAAAAGAAAGAAGATTAACATAGCACATATACATTTTCTTGAATAGCTACATAAGCCGTGTAACTGATATCAGAACTTCATCTTTCATGCATTTTGGTGTTTATAAATACATAAGCAATGGATGGACTGGGAATTTTATTTCTGATAACATACTGGCACTTCGCTAGGTTCCCTCCTAGTGAAGAATCACTAATGAAAGCATAGAAATGACCTAAATTTTTTAGATGGTAATAAATATTAATGATATAAACTATATTGAAATGGACTACTTTGCAATCACAATGATGTGCCTTGTTCAGCTGGGCTTGCCATTGGCAGTAGCTAACATCATACTTTTTAAAGCTCATGAAGCCTTCTAACATATAGCTCAACTGTGAAATTCTCTAGATCATACAGATGATAGCTTTGTACATCACAAAACTAAACTGGTTAATTCTTTGAAATCACAATAATTACGACGAGAGACCTTAGAATTGATTTTACAATGAAGGGAGAAAAAATGGAGTCAAGGGAAAGAAAACAACAAAATAATCTTAAAAAACAAATCTTGGCAATAAAAAGTACTGAAGTACTGATATATGCTACAAACTTCAAAGCATTATGCTAAATGAAAAAAAGCAGACACAAAAGACTACGTATTATATAAATCTGTTTATATAAAATGTTCAGAAAAGGACAAATCAATAGAGGTAGAAGTAGATTAGTAGTTGCCTAGGGCTGGCATGAGGAGGACAAGTTACGGGGAAATGCAAAACAACTGCTAATGGGTATGGGGTTTCTTCTTGAAGTGAGGAAATTGTTCTAGAATAGACTGCACAGCTCTGTAAATACACCAAAAAGCACTGACTTATACATTTAAATAGCTAAGCTGTATAGTATGTGAATTGTATTGCAATAAAGCTGTTATTAAAATTTTTTTTGCTCAATTCAAGTAAGTATCAGATGAGTTACTGATTCCATTAATCAGCTATACAGTATAAAAGGGCTGCTAACTTACTGCCAGAGGACAATAACCCTTTCGGATAGGTTGCTGCTGCCCAAAATACCATCTTTGCAAAATGTAGAAGTATATCAGGGTATGAACATTAGCTCTGCTTAACCACTGTTTTCAATAACTAAAGTCCAAGAATTTCCAGAAACCAATCAATTGGCCCCAATATACTTTGGAGCAGTCCATGAAATGAGTTTTAATTTCATATATCCAAAACACTGTCATGCAAATGAATACATGCCCCAAGCCTGAAAGAAATTAGACCATAGGCAAGAAAAATGTCAAATGAAAGGTTTAAAAGAAACCATATTAACATAACATACTTCTTGAAGACTTTAATGATTATTATCTGGGACACTTTAGCTAGTCTAATAAGGATCTGATTAATTAAAATGAGTTACAAGTCAATCTTTGGAAAATAACAAATGTTACTATATACCTTACAGATTCAGAAGGTGGCAGTGGTAGCCACAGTAGTGTGTTAATTTATCAAGTTAATTTATAATGTTGCCTTTTTAAATAAATATTCCACCACAGTAGCCGAGAAATAATTGAATTCCATCAAGAAAATGTTCGTGGTCTTTTATGCTTTAGCTATATAAATACCAATGATTTATAGACAAAAAAATGTAGTTACTATTTTTAAAAGGGATAATTTGAAAGCCTTATATGACAGCAACACAGCATAATATATGTATTATGATGTTTAATCTATAATTAAAGTCATATACTTCATATAAATGGATTGTCTAGATTTCAAAGCTTTTAGCCCCTATTACAATCAAAAGCCCTGATGCCTCCTAAGAAGGGTAAGCCTTTGAAAAAGGTAAGCAACTGAAGAAGAGAGAGAACAGAGACAGCCAAAACCGCACTATGCTGAAATATAAAAATTTCTAAACAATAAATAATTTAAAACATATGATATTCTTTGAACTAAGTACTGCAAAGTGTACCTGTTTTAAGATCAATCCATCCCTGGGGACAACAAAAAAAGACCAACTTGTCTAACCCACTAAGAGAAAGCATACACTCCCTTTAGGATACTGACAGCCAAGTAGAGGCAAACCATAGTGACTCCACTTTTAATCAAATGCATAATCATCAAAGAGATGTTGAAGGCACAGCTCTTAGCAGCCAAGACTCTCAGCCAAATGTGGAAATGAGCCAATCAGTTATTTTTAAGCTGAAATGAAAAAAGTTCTATTAACACATAACCTCCCTTCCCCTAAGCACAGTTCCCCAATCCTCATTTCCACAGCTAAGCACTGGGCTAAATCTAATGGATGCTTAAGTGAAATTCCTACAGTTTATAGCTGACTTTAATTTATCCCTTCAGGTGCTGAGGCATTATCTGGCTGGTTATATCCATGCCCAGATTTTAATGCTCTCAGCCTTTGGCATGGAAAGTAATAATTTCAATACTATGATTTTAGTTACAAGAGAGCAGATCAAATCCAAAGTTCTTCCAGCATAAACCCTACCAAGAAAGTAATATACATGCCTCTTTTTTCTTCAAAAAGCTTAGGATACACTGGCAAACAACAAAATTGCTGTAAGTTTTGGTATTATAGGTTCTAAAAAAAAAATTGTTGTTAAGTCTACTCAGACTTTAGTTCAAAACTCATGGAAATTAACTATTTAAATAAAATTGGTTCCTAAAGGCTTTAATTAAGTCTACTTAGACTTTAGTTCAAAACTCATGGAAATTAACTATTTAAATAAAATTGGTTCCTAAAGGCTTTAATTCCCCACTAAAATAAATAAGTAGGGGCTGGGTACTTTGGTTCACACCTGTAATCCCAACACTTTGGGGAGGATGAGGCAGGAGGAAGAATGCTTGAGCCCAGGAGTTCAAGGCTATAGTGAGCTATGATTATGCCACTGTACTCCAGCCTGGGCAACAGTGCACGACCCTGTTTCAAAAATAAATACATAAATATATTTATATACATATAAACACTAGAGGCAGACTTTAGGGAAAAAGAAAATATTTCATAAAACCTCAATCTAATTTTTATAAAACTGCTCATAACTAAAATTATATCTAAATACCTTCAAGCCCAATGTTACAAATTAGTTTCCTCATTTGTAAAATGAAAGGCTCAGATCAGATAAATGTGAATTATAAAGTCATATTCAATTATCTCAACACAGTGTTCTGAGCCAAGGACATTGTAGTGAAACCTACAGGAAGGAGCAGCCTTCTAAAGGGTAGAGAGAAGAAAACACCATTCTCTCATGTCTAGGAAGATTGAAGAAGCACTACCACAGGTAGATTTTTCTCTCTTCCACCAGAGTGTTTTCCCAGATACTCATCCAAGAGGCACTGCACCATACACACTAACCCAATTTGATAAGATTAAGAGAATGACAAGGAAACGTCACCAACAGGTAACCACATGGAAAGGATACAAGGGTCAATGGGGATGGATTTCATTATGAACTTTGTTTATGAGAAAACATGAGAAAAGAGCACATATTTAAGGAATGGAGAGTACTTTGTCCTCAGGACATAAATGTAGGAAAGAATGAACCAGCATCATGATTATGATGTGTTAAGACAGACTGGGCATTATACCTTCCACCTATATAACTTACATTTAGGCTTTCAAAAGCCAAGGGCTGGGTGCAGTTGCTCATGTCTGTAATCCCAGCACTTTGGGAGGGTGAGGCGGGCAGATCACCTGAGGTCGGGAGTTCGAGACCAGCCTGACCAACATAGAGAAACCCCATCTCTGCTAAAAATACAAAATTAGCTGGACATGGTGCCTGTAATCCCAGCTACTTGGGAGGCTGAGGCAGGAGAATCGCTTGAACCTGGGAAGCGGAGGTTGTAGTGAGCCGAAATCGTGCCATTGCACTCCAGCCCGGGCAACAAGCACGAAACTCCATCTCCAAAAAAAAGAAACAGCTTAAAGGGCAAATATAAGGTATATAAAGACCTATGTTTTAATTCCTACATTGCTATTCCATAAGGATTCTAAGTATTTAAAATTGGAAAAAGCAGATTTTAAGCTACAGGACAGCTTTGGCAAATTTAATAGGTATTTAGGTGGTCTGGTAGAGATTGTGTAGCTTTGAATTTGAATTTATATTTTGGTATCTCTGTGGCAAGTAACTTATGAAAAACAAGTTGGGAACTTCTGGCTTCAAATAGTAAATTGGAAAGGACTGTTCCCCCATAATACCATGGACCTTAGAACATGAACCATACTATATGAATTTTAATATTAGGTTCATTTTACCACCTAAAATGTTTGAGTATTGAAGGTCTATGATTTCAGCATTTGTTAGTCCCAACTACGACAGTCATGTGGTATGGATCTTGAGGACAGCCTTCTCATGAAGCTCCAATGTACTAAAATGGTCAACAAGAGCCATTTCTTTCTGGATGTGAGTATAGAACAATTACTGCCTTGCAAAGCATGTATCCCTAGAGTCAAACTGTTATATAAAAAAAATTTCTCTGTAGATAGGGCAAAATTCAAAGATGAAAAACAGCCCCTAAAACAAATTGCTATACAACTCTCTTAAGAACTCAATGTGATAAAATATGTAACACCTCACTAGAGAAAAAAAATTAACACACTCACAGATGATCTCTATCAGGATCTAAGAAGTGAAAAATTTGTTATAATATTGGAGGGCTGATTTGAAAAGACTGTTTCCTTGCCCTTCTGATCCCTTGTTTTGCAAAACTATACATCATTTCTAAGGAGAGCTTTACCAATAGAAGACATTAGTCCTCGAGAACCCTCAGCAAAGGGTATTTTGTTTTTCAAGAGTAATTTTGTCATTACATTCTATGCTTTCTTTCAAAAGATGATGTTACAAAATGTAAGTGTTATACAAAAACAGGAAACAGGCAAGGCGTGTAATCTCAGCACCTTGGGAGGCTAAGGCAGGCAGACTACCTGAGGTCAGCAGTTTGAGACCAGCCTGGCCAACATAGTGAAACCTAGTCTCTACTGAAAA